GTACATATGTGTCCTTATTCCCAAATTACCCCCCATCCCCCCATGCATGCCCTCACCCCCCTGTTGTCTGTGTCCATTGGTTACGCCTATATGCTTGCATATAAGTCCTTTGGTTGATCTCCTGGTATGCTTCTTGATCTCTGCTAAAATGTACACTCCTACACTGCCATGCCTAAAGGGAAGTCTGGTTACTACCATCTGTGTCATTCTAAAAATTAGTGGAGATTATTGCTTTCCCAAGGAGACACTTTGCCTCATATCAGTCAATTCCTCAACTCTTGGGGAGAGGACCACTCACTCCCCAGTGCCTTCTACTACTCTCCTCCACATTTCCACCACAATCTCCGACTGTGACCACCATAACTCCTTCCCTTTTAATTACACGTAAATACACTAATTTTAATATGTACACTAGAGCCCCGGTGCACAAAATTCGTGCACTGGAGGGGTTGTCCCTCAGCCCAGCCAGTGCCCTCTCACAATCCAAGACCCCTTGGGGAATGTCTGACTGCCAGTTTGGGCCCCCGAGTGGTCCTGGATTGCTAGAGGGATGTAGCAGTGCACCAAGCAGCAAGTGGCCAGGGCGGAGTCAGAAACAGGGCCTGGTGTGGCACCGCTTGTGCTCATCCCGGCCTGCTGCGCCTGCTGCCACTGCTTGGTGGTGCTGCCATGGAGTTGAGAGAGGCTCCCGCCGCTGCAGCCACGCTTGCCAGCCATAAGCCTGGTTTCTGGCTGAGTGGCACTCCCCCTGTGGGAGTGCACTGACCACCAGGAGGCATGTCTTGCATTAAATGTCTGCTCCCTGGTGGTCAGTGCACATCATAGCAACTGGTCAACCGGTTGTTCCAGTCGTTCTGTCATAACAGTCACTTAGGCTTTTATATATACTAGAGGCCTGGTGCACAAAAATTTGTGCACTCGGGGGCGTCCCTCAGCCCGGCCTGTGGCCTCTCGCAGTCTGGGACCCCTTGGGGGATGTCCACCTGCTGGCTTAGGCCCGCTCCCCGGGGGATTGGGCCTAAGCTGGCAGTCAGACATCCCTCTGGCAGCCCAGGAGCCCTTGGGGGATGTCCACTTGCCAGTGGGGAGCAGGCCTAAGCTGCAGTCGGACATCCTTAGCACTGCTGAGGAGGCAGGAGAGGCTCCCACCACCACCGCTGTACTGGCAGCCGTCAGCCTGGCTTGTGGCTGAGCAGAGCTCCCACTGTGGGAGCGCACTGATCACCAGGGGCAGCTCCTGCATTGAGCGTCTGCCCCTGGTGGTCAGTGTGTGTCATAGTGACCAGTCATTCCCAGTCATTCTGCTGTTAGGGTCAATTTGCATATTACCCTTTTATTATATAGGATAGAGGCCTGGTGCATGGGTGGAGGCTGGCTGGTTTGCCCTGAAGGGTTTCCCAGATCAGGGTGGGGGTCCTGCTGGGGTGCCTGGCCAGCCTGGGTGAGGGGCTGATGGGTGTTTGCAGGCTGGCCACACCCCCTTCACAGTGGGGGTCCCTACTGGAGTGCCTGGCCAGCCTGGGTGAAGGGTTGATGGCTGTTTGCAGGCTGGCCACAGCCCCTTCAGGGTGGGGGTCCCCACTGGGGTGCCTGGCCAGTCTGGCTGAGGGGCTAAGGGCTGTTTTCAGGCTGGCCAAGCCCCACCAGCAACGGAAGCTCCCAGCCTCTCCTTTTTTTCTTTTTATTCTGGGATTTATTTACCTTCTATAATTGAAACTTTGCAGCCTGAAGTGGAGCTCAGAGCCAACCAGGGCAGGCTGGAGGGAAGCTTGGCTTCCTCCATCACCAGGGGCAACCCAAGGCTCCAGCTCTGTGGCCACGGCCTGCTGAAAGCAGGTATCTGGGGTTTATTTATCTTCTATAATTGAAACTTTGTTGCTTTGAGTGGAGCTCAGAGCCGGCCGTGGCAGGCAGGAAGCTTGACTTCCTCCATTACTGGGTCAATCAAGCCTCCTGCTTGCTCCAGCTCTGTGGCTGCTGGCCGCCATCTTGGTTGGGTTAATTTGCATATAGTCACTCTGATTGGCTGGTGAGCATGGCTTAAGGCCTAGTGAAGGCATGGTCAATTTGCATGTTTGTCTTTTATTAGTGTAGATAGATATCAGTTCATACCCCCCAATAACATAACTGCCAGATCTGCCACCTTGAAGTGAGCATATTTCTAACACACTTTGCAATAATCTGAACTTGGAAGCAGATTGTTTTGTTTGTTTGTTTGGAAGTAGATCTTTCTTAGAGCTCCCAGATCAAGAGGGCCGTCTGGCCAACACCTTGATTTTGGCTTTCTGAGAGCTTAAGCAGAGAACTTGCCTTGGTCTTGTGACCTATAGAACTGTGCGCTAGCAAGTGGGTATTGTTTTAAGCTGCTAAATTTGTGTTAATTTGTTACATAGCAGTAGAAGACTAATGCATTGGGAGAGCCACTCCAGATCCCTTATGGTTCCTCTTATGTATCATTTCCTTCCTTTCAACATATTTGTGTCTTGAATCTAAAGTATATAGGTTTTAGCCCAGACGGTGTGGCTCAGTTGGTTGAGCATCGCCTCATGCATCAAGAGGTTACCAGTACCAGTTTGATTCCTGGTCAGGGCACATGCTCAACTTACAGGCTCTATCTCCAGTAGGGGGTGTGCGGGAGGCAGTCAATCAATGTTTCTATCTTTCTCTCCCTCTCCTTTCCTCTCTCTCTAAAATATCAATAAAAACATATTTAAAAGCCTGGCTGGTGTGGCTCAGTGGTTGAGCATTGACCTATGAACCAGGAGGTCATGGTTCGATTCCTGGTCAGGGCACATGCGCGGGTTATGGGCTCAATCCCCAGTGTGGGGCATGCAGGAGACAGCCGATCAATAATTCTCATCATTGATGTTTCCATTTCTCTCTTTCCTTCTCCCTTCCTCTCTGAAATCAATAAAAATATATTTAAAAATATAAAATGAAAATATAAAGTGTATATATTTTAGACAGCATACAGTTAGATTCTGTTTTTAATCTAGCCTGATAATCTTTTATTTTTTTTTACTGTAGTGCTTATTTCACTTACATTTAATATAGTTATTGGTTATAATATAGATGTAATTACTTATAACTATTTTCTATATGTATGTTTCATGTATATTTTCTCCTTTATTTCTTTTTTACTGCTTACTTTTGCATTTATTAGACCTTTTCTAGTGTGCCATTTAAATTCTCTTTATTTACTCTATTTGTTGAATTATTTTCTTAGTGGTTGCTTTGGGTATTAAAATATACATCTTAAAACAATATACTTCACATTAATGCTAATTTATTTCTGCTAGTATACAGAAACTGCTCCAATATAGCTCTCGTTCCTCTCCAACGTTTGTGCTATTATTATCATAGACAGTGTATATGTATTCTAAAGCTAACAATATTTAATATTTATTGTTTTATGCAGATGTCTTTTAAAGCAGTTGTGAGAAGGAAAGAAAAATATATTTATATTGTACTTTATGTTTTCCTATGTAAGTAACTTTACTGGTGTTTGGGTTACAATTTCTATTCAGCCTGACAAATTCCTTTTATTTCTTATAAGGCAAGTCTGATAGCAACTAGTTCTCTAAGGCTTTTTTTCTTTTTCTGGGTTTGCCTTTTCCTGGGGCTTTTATTTTATTTTATATTTATTTATTTATTTATTTATTTATTTATTTATCTCAGTCTCTGTGTGGTCTCCACTTTCGGTCCTCGGGTATCAGGGTTTTCTCCTGCGAGTTTTGTTGATTATTCAGGAAGTTTTTCTGTATTTTAGTTGTAATTCCTGGGAGCTTGTCCATGCAGCATCCACTTACTCATTTTTAATCCTCCGGGCCTTTATTTTTTAAGGGTTATTTTGGCAGGTATAGATTTTTAACAAAATAAGAGCATTATTAAGATATAAATTATTTACATATGATTAACCCATTTAAAATGTATTGTACAATGGTTTTTAATATATCCACAGAGTTGTGCAACCATCACAATACATTTTAGAACATTTTCATCATCCCCAAAAGAAACCCTGTACCCTTTGCAGTCACTCCCCATCACCCACCCTTCCTCTGGCTTCTTTTACTCAAGATATTATTTTCAAGTTTCATCCATATTGTAGCCTATATCAGTACTTAATTTCTTTTTATTGCTGAATAACAGTCCATTGTTTGAATATTCTACATTTGTTCATTTGGGTTGTTGATGGGCATTTGGGTTGTTTCCACTTTTTGGCTATTATGAATAAAAATACTGATATTAATACATATTTTAAATATATTTTTATTGATTTCAGAGAGGAAGGGAGAGGGAGAGAGAAACTTCAATGATGAGAGAGAATCATTGATCGGCTGCCTCCTGCACGCCCCCTACTAGGGATTGAGCCCACAACCTGCATTTTTTGTTTTTATTATTGCAATAAATAATTTCATTTTCTTATAAAACCTCACATGACGAATTATCTTCAGAGCTTAGAATGAGATAAAACTTTTTCTCTAATAACTAACTAACTAACTAAATAAATAAATAAATAAATATTTAGTAAGTATTCTTGATCTGCACAGCAATCTCAAGGAAGTAGGTAAATATTCCCAACTGTATAAATGCTGAAAGGGATGCAATGCAAAGTGATTTACTCAAAGTCAGAATGCTCATACCTTCCAAGTTGTCACCCATAGTGTCAGTGGCAAAACTGATAACAGAATAGAGATCTTAGAGTGTCTCCCGTTTCAGTTCTTTATAGTACCCCACCAACATGCATGCCATCACTCTAACACAGACATTTTCTAACATCTGGAAAGTATTCCAAAGTAGCTCCTGTAGAGCTAACACTTAAACATGATGGAGTGAGTCCCCATGATAAGATGTGCACCTAATACACTATTGCAATGATTGGGATAGTTCACTCAGGTTTCTTAGGATATTTTAAGAATTACAAACACTGCTATTATTTTAGGGTCACCAAAATTACTTTCTAAAATAATTTTTGAAACTAAACCAAATTACTAGGAAAATTACTTTGACACAGACAAAGGGACAAACTTCTGAAAGAGAAGCGAAAGAGGTTTAATAGCTCTTATCTATTTCATTCCCTGAAAAAACATGTTGGGTATTAACTTCACAAGGTGAATATAACAAATGAAAAAGGAGAAGAAATAGAAACCCATCCAATTCTTGAATCATGGATTGAGTTTTGGAAGACAGTTTGATCTTCTACTCTGTTTTGCTGATTCTCTCTTGGCATTTCCTATCTTCTGATTAGCTGTATTGTACCTTCCCATTTCCACTGGAATCTCTTTCCTTCTATGGAATTCATCCATATGTTGTCTTCTAGGAATTTCGTATAAGTAAGAGACCTGAAATAGGTATTTTTGGCATTCATCCTCGACCTTTTTGTAAGCCCTTTCTTCTTGTTCCTCTTTAACTGAATAGTATTTCACTTGATTTTCAAGACGCCTTTTCTCTTGGAGTAGTTTTCTAAGTAATTTCACTAAATATCTCGTTGACAATTCCATGTAGACTTCAATAGTACCTTGTATATCTGAAGGATCTCCACTGAATTTTCCCAATTTCTCTTTCAGAGTAACTATTTGCTCTCTCAGTTGATAATTCACTTCAAGTTGTGTCTCATAAAGCATTTTCCATTCAATGTTTTTAATGAATTTGGCTTTCTGTTCTGCCATCTTACGTGTTAGTTCATTTATTGAGACTTTTACTGTCTTTCTTATGGATTTCTTCCAATAACTCCAGTTTTAGTTGTTCAATGCTCATACCTTCAAAGTTGTCACCCATAGTGTCAGGTCAGAGACCTCTCCACGCCCTTCTCATCAGCACATCTTAGAGCAGAAGACCTGAAGGCTCACCCAAAGCTGAGAGGAAAGTGTTGTCATGAGCTGTTACCACGGTGAACTGAATTCTAGAATTCTTGGCTGCAGTCCCCCCACCCAGCACCTTGCACATGTCATAACACTGCCTTCTTGTCTCCATTCTTTCTTTCTTTCTTAACATTTTTTTAAAAAGATACATTTTTGTTGATTTCAGAGAGATAGGGAGAGTGAAAGAGAATCATTGATTGGCTGCTTCCTGCACACCCCCACTGGGGATTGAGCCCGCAACCTGGGCATGTGCCCAGTACATAGTTATGACAATATTATTGACTATATTCCCTATGCTATGCTTTACATTCCTGTGATTACTTTGCAACTATCAACTTGTACTTCTTAATCCTTTCACCTTTTTTACTCAGTCCCCAATCCCCCTCCCCTCTGGCAACCATCAGTCTGTTTTCTGTATCTCTGAGTCTGTTTCTGTTTTGTTTGTTTGTTTATATTGTTATTTATATTCCAAATATAAGTGAAATCATATGGTATTTGTCTTTCTTTGACTGGCTTATTTACTGATCAGAATGTCCTCTAGGTCCAACCATGCTGTCCTGAATGGTAAGATTTTATTCTTTTTTATGACCAAGTAATATTCCAGTGTACTTATGTACCACAAGTTTTTTGATCCACTCATCTATTGATGGGCACCTGTTGCTTCCTTTTGTCTCCATTCTTTCTAATGACAAGGCAGCTGTTAATATTATTGTGGTTCCTTTGCATATATATAATTTTTCTCCTGCTGTTTTCAAGTTTTTCTCTTTGGCTTTGGCTTTGAACAATTTGATTAATATCTATCTAGCTGTGAATATCTTTGTGTTTGTTCTACTTGGAATTCATTGAGCTTCTTGGATGTGTAGCTTAAAGTTTTCCATCAAATTTGAGAAATTTTACCCATTATTTCTTCAAATACTTATGTCATCCCCCGTCCCTCCTCTTCTGGAAATCCCATTAAGCATATGTGGTGTGTTTGATGGTGTCTCACAGGCCTTTGAGATTATTCAGTTTTCTTCATTCTTTTTTCCTGTTGAGCCCCTTGAGTAAATTTTTTTTTTCATTTGCTATACCCTTTAACTACAGAATTTCCATTTTTTCTATAATTTGTATCTTTTTGTTAATATTCTCTATGTGATGAGTCATTGTCATTATACATTTCTTTAATTCTTTTTTTTAAAATTCTTTATTGTTGAAAGTTTTATATATGCCTCTTTTTTTCTCCCCATTGACCTCTCCCTGCCCGTTCCCACTGCCCCCGCTTTAATTCTTTAAACATGGTGTCCTTTAGTTATTCAAACATATTTGTAATAGCTTATTTGAAATCTTTATCTAGGCCCTCCCAGAAACAATGTATATAAGCTGCTTTTTCCTCTGTATGGGCTATGTCTTGTTTCTTTGTTTTTAAATATTTATTTATTTTAATGATGTGCTTGGACTAATTATGTAGTGTCTATCTACCCCGCAGAGTGTGACAACTGGAATCTCTGCTCAGTTTTTTTTTAAAGTTCTTGTTGTTAAACTTAAGCCTAGTTACTTAGGTTCAGCCTTGGGTCATCATAGCAGGCACCATACATAGTTATTACAATATTATTGACTGTATTCCCTATGCTGTACATTTATTTCTCCTTTGAACCCTGGGTTATTTGGAGTGTATTATATAATTTTCAAGTGGAGATTTCCTGTTATATTTTTGTTATTGATTTCTAGCTTAATTCTACTGTGGTCAAATAATATGATTTCAGTCCTTTGAAATTTAAGACTTGCTTTAGAGACCATAGTATGATACACGTTGATGAATGTTTCATTTGCATTTGAGTAGACTATGTATTGTTCAATTGTTGTGTTCTATATTTATCAGGCCAACTTTGTTGTCCTTCAACTTTTCTATATGCTTAATGGTTTTTTTTTAATATATATATTTTATTGATTTTTTACAGAGAGGAAGGAGAGAGATAGAGAGTTAGAAACATCATGAGAGAGAAACATTGATCAGCCGCCTCCTGCACACCCCTACTGGGGATGTGCCTGCAACCCAGGTACATGCCCTTGACCGGAATCGAACCCGGGACCCTTCAGTCCGCAGGCCGACGCTCTATCCCCTGAGCCAAACCGGTTTCGGCGCTTAATGGTTTTTTATCTGCCTTTTCTACCAATTACTGGGAGACATGTATAGAAATCTATCAACTTGATTGTAACTTTCTTCTTAAAAATTTATTGATGAAAGACAGAGAGAGACAGAGAAAGTGTTGTTCCACTTATTTTTGCATTAATTGGTTGACTCTTATATGTGCTCTGACTGGAGATCAAACCTGCAACCTTGACCTATCAGGACAGTGCTCTAACCAAGTGAGCTACCCAGCCGCGGTGATTGTAAATTTCTTTATTCTCTTACTTTTGTCACTTTTTATGTGTATATTTTCTATGATATCAGGTATTTGCAATTTTAAGATTGTTATAATTTCCTGTTGAATCAAATCTTTTATAATTGTGAAAAGTCCCTGTGCATCTCTATACTGAAGATTCCCTTAAAGTCTATTCTGTCTGATATTATATAGTTATCCTGATTTACTTTGGTTATTGCTTGCATGGTATGTCATTTTTGCCATTTGTTTATTTTTAACCATTTTATATCCTTACATTTAAAATGTCTCGCCCAACTGGTGTAGCTCAGTGGTTGAGCGTTAACCTATGAACCAGGAGGTCATGGTTCGATTCCAGGTCAGGGCACATGCCTGGGTTTTGGGCTTAATCCCCAATGTGGGGCATGCAAGATTGATGTTTCTCTCTCTCTCTCTCCCTCTCCCTTCCTCTCTGAAATAATAAAGTAGAATAAAGTGTGTCTTTTCCATCTTTGTTAAAGTAGACAGGTTGTCAGGAATTATCAACTTCCAGAGTCCTGAGGATCCAAATAATTTATTAAATGACTGGTCTCAGAAATTGAACTCATTGATGTCTCTAGGTAACAAAACTGCACATCTCATAGCCAAAGAGGAGATGGTACATAATCTACAATATGGGTCTCGATGTCCTTAATGCTTTCAGAAAAGAGTTAAAAATGGAAGTAATTAATAAAAAGACTTATGGTGTATGTCAGAGCCAGCAGGAGCACTGCTGCTCTGAGTTGTTCTGAATTCTTCCTGACTACGCCAGGGCTGGTTCCTGCTTGAACCCTGCCCTTTGCATTGTTGGGAACTTAGTCTAAGTTCCTCCTTTATCCCCTGCTCACTAGTTACAGGTGTTGGGTCTGAGTCCCCCTGCCTGGGGTGGACCTCCTTGGACGCCGGGTCTCAGACGAAAAAGCCATGAGAAGTTGTGGGTGTAAAAGAATGAGTCTTTATTGCAGAAGCCAGTGGCCATATAGCCATCAGACAAGATAATTCTTCACAGCAAAATCCATACAGGCAGGCAGCCGGACACCGGCTGGTGAATACATATCTTTTCTACAAAGCAGCATTAGTCTCTGTACCCACAGCTATTATCTGAGCAGCCGCATGCTGCCCCCTAGACTCACCGCCTCACATCATAGCAGTATCCAAGCTTCTCCTGTCTCCCCTGCCCAGCACACACTGGCTGGTCTCTGTAGCCTCATATAGTGAGATTCATTCCTCCCCCCGCACACTGGCTGGTTAACATGGTAGTCATATCTGAGCTCTCTGATTGCTCTTAGTCTTACATTGTAGCAGCTCTCAGCTCCATCTGAGTTTTCCTCTCTCCTGCACACATAGAGGCTACATTCTCTGTGTCTACTGCCTCTGCTTCTCTGAGCTCTCTCTGCCCAGCTGCTCTCTCGTCAGTAACCTGTATATTACGCCAGCGATAAAGAAGGCTAGTCGCCAACAGTGACATCAATTCTTTGGGTTACAGAAGGGCACAGTGTACCATGTATCCTTGCACCCGCTCATGGTGTCTTGGCCTTGGGTACCCCAATTAGGCTCATGCTCAGAGTGGACTTGGCCATTCTGGTGTATTGACAACAAGGCCTCTGTGCTCCCATTGGCCTTGACTATCCAGGCACCCTGGCGTGGTTCCCACAGTGTAGATGTTGGTGTGTTTTTTCCCCTATTCTCAGCTAATTTTTCTAAAATTTAAAAGATAGTGAATGTGTTTGGGGCCCCTTTCGACCTTTTAACTCCTTGATTTCATTGTTAACTTTTTATTTGCAATTTTTTTGAAATATATTTTATTGATTTTTGACAGAGAGGAAGGGAGAGAGATAGAGAGTTAGAAACATCGATGAGAGAGAAACATCGATCAGCTGCCTCCTGCACATCTCCTACTGGGGATGTGCCCGAAACCCAGGTACATGCCCTTGACCGGAATCGAACCTGGGACCCTTCAGTCTGCAGGCTGACGCTCTATCCACTGAGCCAAACCGGTTTTGGCTATTTGCAATTTTTATAAAAATGTAATACTGTCTATTGTCTGAGTACTCAAAAAATTGTGTCAAAATTTACCCAAATGTTTTTCTATCATTTGAAACTTTTTAAAGCTATTGTTTGCTTTCATTCAGCTAATAACCATAATTATAATAAAAGCAGTATATTCACATTTTAAAAAATGTGTCTCTTGCAAGCAGTATATGGTTTATTTTTTTCATATAGTTGGGCTGTTTCATTAACTGAAGAATTAATTCAGTTATGTTTTTTAATATATTTTATTGATTTTTTACAGAGAGGAAGGGAGAGGGATAGAGTTAGAAACATCAGTGAGAGAGAAACATTGATCAACTGCCTCCTGCACGCCCCCTACTGGTGATGTGCCCGCAACCAAGGTACATGCCCTTGACTGGAATCGAACCTGGGACCCTTCAATCCGCAGGCCGACACTCTAGCCACTGAGCCAAACCAGTTAGGGATAATTCAGTTATGTTTAATGTAATTATTGACACATGTAGGTTTATATGTGCCATCTTTTTGTTTGTTTCCTATTTGTCATATCTATTCTTCATTTTCCTTTTCCCCTTTGTTGTCTACTTTTGGATTTATGAAGTTTGTTTTATTTTTTAATGGAATATTATGAACACATGTGAAGCTACAGCTCCTGACCTGACCTGGCAGGTCCCTGTGATATGTTCTGTGATGTGACAAATAGCAGAGAAACGTAGAGAATAACTTAATCCCATCCTCCCCCTTTCTGTGTATAAATCATGGTGATGCATGCGATGATGTGTAAGGCTTGGATGTGTAAGGACAGTCAAGCTGACTGCTCCATAGGATACCTGGGCAGGTAGTTAAAACAACACAACAGCCTGGCCGGCGTGGCTCAGTGATTGAGCGTCGACCTATGAACCAGGAAGTCACGGTTTGATTCCCTGTCAGGGCACGTGCCCGGGTTGTGGGCTCTATACCCAGTGAGGGGCATGCAGGAGGCAGCTGATCAAAGATTCTCTCTCATCATTGATGTTTCTCTCTCTCTCTCTCTCTCTCTCTCTCTCTCTCTCTCTCTCTCTCCCTCTCCGTTCCTCTCTGAAATCAATAAAAATATTTTTTAAAATAACAAAAGACAGCAACACAACAGCAAAATGCAAATGTACACCTGAAACTAATACAAAATAATATTGAATGTAAACTTTAATGGAAAGAAATTAAAAACGCAAATGTGCTTGTGGTCTATTGTGAAGTGAAACAGCATATTTTTTTCCTCTAATATTCCTACAAATACGTGAAAAGTGTCTTTCTTTTTAAAAATTTTATCTTTCAAGCACAGTTTATATTCAATATTATTTTGTATTAGCTTAAGGTGTACAGCATAGTGGTTAGACAATCTCATATTTTACAAAATGGTTTTCCCAATATTTCAAGTACCCATCTGGCACCTTACATAGTAATTACAATATTATTGACTATATTTTCTATGTTGTACTTAATGTTTTTCAGTTTATTTTTTATTGTTGACAGTATTACAGATATCCCCTATTTTGCCCCTCTTCCCCCCTCCACCCAGCCCCCACCCCAACCCAAGCCTTCACCACACTATTGTCTATGTCCATGGGCTGTGCATATATGAATAGAAGCTCTTTGGTTAATCTCTTCCCATTCCCCTCCCTCCTCCCCTCTGAGATCTGTCAGACTGTTCCATGCATCCATGTCTCTGGACCTATTTTGTTTGTCAGTTTATTTTGTTCATTAGATTGCACGTATGAGTGAGATCATGTGATATCTGTATTTTTCTGACTGGCTTATTTCACCTAGCATAATGGTCTCCAGGTCCATCCATGCTGTTGCAAAGGGTCAGACATCCCTGGAACTGTTTTGTGGCTACCATTTTGTAGTTCTTAATCCCTTCACTTTTTTACCCAGCCTCCCAACCCCCCTCTCCTCTGGTAACCATACATCTGCTCACTTTATCTATGAGTCCCTTATGAAGTTTGTTTTAAATAAGCTTTCTATTTTGGAATATTGTTAGATTTACAGAAAAGTTTCAAAGATTAAACAGAGAGTTTCCATATACCCAGTTTCAATTTCCCTTAATTTCACTTTACTTTAATGCTATTATTTGTTGACATTAAGAAACCAACATTGCCACATCATTATTAACTAAACTTCAGATTTTATTCAGGTGTCACTAGTTTTTCCATTAATGTTCTTTTTCTGCTTCAGGATCCAATCTACAGTGCCCCGTTGCATTTAATTTTCCTGTCTCCTTATAATCCTCTGATTTGTGCCATTTTCTGTCTTTGACTTTAACAGTTTTGAGCACAATTTGTCAGGTATTTTGTAGAATGTCCTTCAATTTGAGTTTATTTGCTGTTTTTCTCATGATTAGATTGGGTTAATGGGTTTTGAGAAATAATACCACAGAGATGAAGTGCTTTTCTCACTTCATCATTTTAGAGGTTTCATGCTATAAACATGACTTATTACTAGTCATATAAACCTTGATTAAGGTGATGTTTTCCAGTTTACTCCACTGTAAAGTTGTTTTTTTTCCCTTCCCAAGCTTTATTCTTTGGAAGTGAGTTACTAAATATGATGCACTTTTTATTATTCTATTTTCCATTTTTTAGTTTACTAGTTAACATATTCTTTTATTATTCTTTTAGCTGTTAACCTAAAAACTACAACCTGTTTTGTTGACTAAAACTTACCTGCAATTAATACTTTTACTACTTCTTAATGTAAGGATCTATCAACACTTTAACTCAATTTATTCCCTTGTAAATTGAGCTGTTGCCATGTGCAGTTAATGTCATGAATTTTAATTCATCATGTTTTTAAACCCCATGAGACATTTTAAAAAATCTTTAAAGAATCTCAAACCTACAGAAATGTTTAAGTACAATACAAAGAACTTTTTCCTGAACCTTTTATGAATAAGTCACTGATGTGATGCCCTATCTTTTTAAAACATTTTCATGTCTATTTCCTAAAACAAAGCAAAGGGAATTCTCTTGCAAAACTACAATGTAGCCCTAACCGATTTGGCACAGTGGCTAGAGCGTCGGCCTGCAGACTGAAGGGTCCCAGGTTCGATTCCAGTCAAGGGCATGTACCTTGGGTGCGGGCACATCCCCAGTACGGGGTGTGCAGGAGGCAGCTGATCGATGTTTCTCTCATCGATGTTTCTAACTCTCAATCCCTCTCCCTTCCTCTCTGTAAAAAATCAATAAAATATATTTAAAAAAAAAGAGTGTCCACCTCAGGTAATTGAGGAGGTTGAGCCACTAGGCCCTATAGGACACCTAGCGCAGAAAGCCACTCTATCAACACAGGGAAGCATAAAAAATGTGGAGACAAACAGGTCACAAATGACAGAAATGGAGGAAAGCAAACTATAGGATATAGAGTTCAAAACCACACTTATAAGGTTTTTCAAGAATTTTCTAGAAACCACCGATAAATTTAGTGAGACCCTTGATAAATCTAGTGAGACCCTTGAGGATATGAAAAAGGACCAACTAGAAATTAAGCATACACTGACTGAAATAAAGAATATTATACAGAGTTCCAACAGCAGACTAAAGGATCGCAAGAATCAAGTCAAAGATTTGAAATACGAAGAAGCAAAAAAACACCAAACCAGAAAAGAAAAAAGAATCCAAAAATATGAAGATAGTGTAAGGAGCCTCTGGGACAACTTCAAGCGTACCAACATCCGAATTATGAGGGTGCCAGAAGAAGAGAGAGAGCAAGATATTAAAAACCTGTTTGAGCTGAAACCGGTTTGGCTCAGTGGATAGAGCGTCGGCCTGTGGACTGAAAGGTCCCAGGTTCGATTCCGGTCAAGGGCATGTACCTGGGTTTTGGGCACATCCCCAGTAGGAGATGTGCAGGAGGCAGCTGATCGATGTTTCTCTCTCATCGATGTTTCTAACTCTCTATCTCTCTCCCTTCCTCTCTGTCAAAAATCAATAAAATATATTTTTAAAAAAACCTGTTTGAAGAAATAATGACAGAAAACTTCCCCTACCTGGTGAAAGAAATAGACTTACAAGTCCAGTAAGCACAGAGAACCCCAAACAAAAGGAATCCAAAGAGGACCACACCAAGACACATCATAATTAAAATGCCAAGGGCAAAAGACAAAGAGAGAATCTTAAAAGCAGCAAGAGAAAAACAGTCAGTTACCTACAAGGGAGTACCCATAGGACTGTCAGCTGATTTCTCAACAGAAACTATGCAGGCCAGAAGGGAGTGGCAAGAAATATTCAAAGTGATGAATAGCAAGAACCTACAACCAAGATTACTTTACCCAGCAAAGCTATCATTCAGAATTGAAGGTCAGATAAAGAGCTTCACAGATAAGAAAAAGCTAAAGGAGTTCATCCCCACCAAACCAGTATTATATGAAATGCTGAAAGGTATCCTTTAAGAAGAGGAAGAAGAAGAAAAAGGTAAAGATACAAATTATGAACTACAAATACACATCTATCAACAAGTGAATCTAAAAACCAAGTGAATAAATAATCTGATGAACAGAATAAACTGGTGAATATAATAGAATCGGGGCATAGAAAGG